CCCCTCTGCAGGACTCTGCCAGCAGAATACAGTTGGATGCACCAATTGTAAAATTTCAAAGCATAGAACAGATACTAATTTATGTCTACAACACTAAGAAGCAAGCAGGTATTTTACATACCAGGGAATCAAAGAAAGGTGAAGTGCTTTGTCTAAAGGCACTTGGAAGAAATGAGTAACAAAGCCATAATTAAAATTCAACATCAAGCTTGATGTTAATCCTCTAGACCTAACTGCCTTTTTCAAAGTGCATGATTTGGAACATCAAAAATAAGAAACAATTCAGTCCCTTTTCTCAATACACGCTTTCATGATAAAATAAAACACCACGTTCAGCTTCTTCCTCTCTATTGGCACGAACAATCATCTTTCTTAGGAATCAAAGTCATGAAATCATTCTGGATTAAAAAAAAAAATAAAATAAAAAGGAAGCCAAGTCACAGTTAAAATTAAAATTCCACATTTGAATTAATCTCTATCTCTGCGTACCGAGGGACTGGCAGGAAAACACACATACGTGCCAGGTATGCTAGTACACCAACTTACACCAGCCTGATTTAATTAGTTTGCTTTCAATGCAAAGGTGCAGCACCTCAGCAATTATGAGATCGTTAATACAACAGTGCATAGCAGCACCTTTGGAGATCTCCTCTAACCTCTAGGCACACATAGAACTCCCATTAAGGCTAATGGGAGTCACATGTGTGCATCCAAGGGAGAAGAGACCCATTAAAACTGATACAACATATCCATTAATCTTCAGGTCACTCTTAAGGTCAAACATTATAAAAATGTTTATGAACAGTACTTACTAGGTATGCACAGTGGCTATTTTGGTTTTAGAGCAGACCCGTGAGCCGCTAAGGCCATGGAAAATGTCTGCTTTTAAAGCATCACCACGTTTCAAGTGGTGGCACAGAAATTTGAGAGTGCTTTTCTGTAGTCGGAGAGGAGATTTTTCTATCATCTCCTGAAAGAATTAGAAGGATAGAAATGACAGGGAAGGTTAGACACGAATGAAAACCTTGGACAAAGGTATGCTTTAGCTTTTAATTTTTCTTCCATCCCCCACTCTTTCTTCATATTTCAGTCCCTTAGTTGTGGTTTTCCGCTTCAGGAAGAACATTAACTGCAGCAACTGAATTCCTAATCTGTGCAGCCTGCTACAAAGACACTACAAATAAGATTTTGATTATTGAATCACCAGCAAACCACAACAATTCAAGCCCCGCTTGCAGGGAGGAAGGGGTGTTGAAAGTTCCTCAAAGAGAAAGGTAACTTTAGTGTGCCACCCACGTCATCCTGCCTATCTGAAAACTCCCTTCCTCACCACCGTGGTACAGTTTAAAGAAGCATGCTCTTTTCCAGCTGAGGAAAAGCTGACTATCCAGTCTGTGACACCGGCCCCATCAGCCATGAATTCGCTATCTTTGTCCTCACTGAACTCTGGAGAAGAGGGAGATGTCTCAGTAGCACGGGGGCCAGATGATCTCCACATGAACAGAGCAGGAGGAAACGCAAGTATCAGGTGAGCAAATAAATAAGGACAAACTTCAGACACGAACAACCCTGTTTGTTTACTGTTCCTTTCAGGAACTGGAGTGAACAAGGACAGGTGGCTTCACCAAGAGATACTCATGAACTATTCACAGAACCACAGAATGACATGGGGTTGGAAGGGACCTCTGGAGATCACCCAGTCCAACCCCCTGCCAGAGCAGGGCCACCCAGAGCAGGTCCCACAAGAACGTGTCCAGGTGGGTTTGAATGTCTCCAGAGAAGGAGACTCCACCACCTCTCTGGGCAGCCTCTGCCAGGGCTCTGCCACCCTCATAGGAAAGAGGTTCCTCCTTATAAGAAGTTCCTCCTTATGTTTAGATGGAATTCTTTTGTTCTGGTTTGTGCCCATTCTGTCTTGTCCTGTCACTGGGCACCACTGAAAAAAGCCTGGCCCCATCCTCCTGACACCCACCCTTTCAGTATTTATAGGTGTTGATCAGATCCCCCCTCAGCCTTCTCTTCTCCAGACTAAACAGACCCAAGTCCCTCAGCCTTTCCTCATCAGAGAGATGCTCCAGGCCCCTCAGCATCTTTGTAGCTCTTTGCTGTCCCCTCTCCAGCAGTTCCCTGTCCTTCTTGAACTGGGGAGCCCAGAACTGGACTGAAAACTCATTCTGAAACTCATCTTCCAGAACTTGTTTCAAAACTCTAATTCTGCACGTGAGGCTTGTTCAGCACTTGCCAATGCCCTCGTGACGGGGTCTGTAGGTGTTTCCAAGCACTGACAACTTTGCATTACAAGTGTTTGTTCAGAGACCTCGTGTGACAGACATGGATGGCCACCTGCATCTGGAGTGTCAGGTCAGAACACGGGTAAGAGGCTGAAGAACAACCTCTCACCACAAAACACTCCCAGAGACGGTGACAGCAGTGTAAGCCCCACCAAGAAATCACACATTGCTTCAGTCTTGAATTCCAGGTCCTCTGCTGCCTTTAACCAAGAAATCACACATTGCTTCAGTCTTGAGTTCCAGGTCCTCTGCTGCTGGTATGTCCGTGTCACACAGGGTCTCCCTTCACAAGATGTTTATACACTGATACCGCTCTTCACAGTGCCCTTCACAAGGAAGTGGGTTTTTTGCCTCTAATTCAAATATTTAGCTGGTATGTCCGTGTCACACAGGGTCTCCCTTCACAAGATGTTTATACACTGATACCGCTCTTCACAGTGCCCTTCACAAGGAAGTGGGTTTTTTGCCTCTAATTCAAATATTCAATGACAAATAAATGATATTAAGTAGAAGATTAATTGCACGATTCAATTAAATTAATTACTCCTCTGCAGAAATAAATGATTGCATGGCTTGCTTTCAAAAACAAAACAAAAACCAAAGCAAAAATAGCTCAAAATACCTTGGTGTACATGGTAGACTATCTAAACATTTGGGGGTGATTGTTTTTCCTTCATCAACGGTCAGAAGCTCTGCACTACAATGCCTTTCTGAAGAACAAATGAGCTTTCCAAGCTCAAAAGATAACGCTACCTCATTTTGCTTAAAATGCAGTTTTCATACAAAAAGATCCAATTCCCATTTTGTGAAATCAGCCATGTGAATTAGCCCTACTCACTTCAAACAGTTTTTCTAAATGAGGTGTTACTCATTTTTACAGTTAGGCATCTGTTTTGAAGATTCCATTGTGAAAAATGACATGCAAATATTTAATAAAGCTGTTCTTTCAAGTTCGTAATACTCAGAATGGCCCGTACCCTGTTTTGTGACACCAGAAGTAGTCCAGGGTGCTACCTAATGTCTTAGCTGTGAGTTCAAAAGGCAGTAAAGGATCCAACAACGTGTGCCCATGGAATCCCCCCCAGCCTCCTTGGCACAGATCACCTCAGCCAGCTCCCTCAGGAACCGGGACCCTTAACGCCACCTCTGATGAATAGTGGATTCTTGAATACACCAAAACTAGATCATGTTACTATTTGGAAATGGATAAAAGGCCGTTTAGATGCAGTGCTGAGGGACATGGTGTAGGGGAGGACTTTGTAGAGTAGAGTAGATGGTTGGACTCGATGATCCCAAGGGTCTCTTCCAACCTCAATGATTCTATGATTCTATGAAATCACTGTTTGAGTATCTTTTAATTTTTACATATAATAAGCAAACGTAGATTCCTCTCAACTCGTTCATACACACTTTTTAGAAGAGTTCCCTTTATTTTGCTTTCTGGAATCATAATAACCAACTTTCCAATCCAGTTTTCCTCAATGAAGCATGCAATATGTACAAATAATTCCATCCCGAATCGCATAAAACACTTTGGGACCCATGAGGGAGGGCCTGGCTCTCACTGGGACCAGTGACCAACAGCAGCTGAAGCAGCATCGGCCCAAAGCTGCTGGGGTAACAGCTGCCTGCAGCACCCACAGGCCTCTCCCACACTTCCCCCCTCGGCTGCGGGGTCCCTCCCCGCACAGGCCTGTCAGTTCTGTCAGTAAATGCCACATAATCCCACGTTTTGGGCCCCCTACCATAAAAAAGACATTGAGGGGCTGGAGCGGGTCCAGAGAAGGGCGACAAAGATGGTGAGGGGTCTGGAGAATAAGTCTTGTGAGGAGAGGCTGAGGGAGCTGGGGTTATTCAGCCTGGAGAAGAGGAGGCTGAGGGGAGACCTTATTGCTCTCTACAACTACCTGAAAGGAGGGTGTAGAGAGGTGGGGGTCGGTCTCTTCTCCCAAGTCACAGGTGACAGGAAGAGAGGAAATGGCCTCAAGTTGTGCCAGGGGAGGTTCAGGCTGGATATTAGGAAAAATTTTTTCACTGAAAGGGTTCTCAGGCATTGGAATGGGCTGCCCAGGGAGGTGGTTGAGGCACCATCCCTGGAGGTGTTCAAAAGACGGGTTGATGAAGTGCTGGGAGGTCTGGTTTAGTGATGGTGCTCCTTGTTTGTTGTGCGGGTATCTATTTTTGTCAGTTAGGTTGAGGGTTGGACAAGATGATCTTTGAGGTCCCTTCCAACCTAGAAGATTCTGTGATAAGCCCTTCGCCTCCCACGGGCCGCGGCTGCGCCCCAGGGTGCCCTCAACTCCAACGCGCTCGGCCTCCCCACCCCCAGCCGGGAGCCCCTCCACCGCCACACGGGCAGCCGGGGCGAGCAAAGGCAGCTGACGGGCGCTTGCGGAGCTAAAGACACAGAAAAGGCAGCTCGGCCTCTAGCGGGACCCCTGACCGCTCATAGGGCCCGGGTGGCAGCCGCGGCGATTCCCCCCGCCTCAGCCCGCTCCCTCACACTCCGTCCCGGAACCTCCCTCCTCCTGCCTCCCTATTGGCTCCTTATCCCCACTCCGAGCCGCTGATTTGCTCCGCGGCCCGTCAATCAAACCCCCTGCCCTTCGCCCCGGCATGGCCGCCGGCCCCTCTAGCGTCTCCTCTCTATCTCCCCGAGCACTTCCTGCGGAGCCGCTCTAG